ATGCTGGTAAACTATGCCATAGCACATACAGGCCATACTGGCAGCATATGGTGGCCCAACACCTTATTAAGTGACTTTACATTGGTGTTTCCATTTTTTTTTGGGGGGGGGGGGGCTACTACGTGTACATTCTTCTCTGCTTTCACTTATTATTTGATGTAATTCAACTACTAATGATGCTCTAGCCAGAATAATAATCCAGTCATTAGTTTCAACAATCTTTGATAACTTGTTTGAAAGCTATCACCAATGGTCATATTAGCCTATTCTTATATTGTACAAAGTAATGATAATTATAATTCAGTTATGTTATTTCAGTTCGCTGTAGGTATCATTGTAGTGTTGTTCTTTCATTGGTGGGTTCTTTTAAGTTATAGTAAAAACTTGTAAATAGTAACTCTAACCTTGATAGCAAACACAGATCCAAATACTTCACATAAACACACTAGCTGATTCAACTGTCTATCTGAAAAAAAAAGTCTATATCCTTGTCTTTCTTCTATCTTGCTGTACTCTGGAATAAATATATACATTGGACAACTATCTCATATTTTAATCTAGCTTTGAATATACTAGAAAATACTTGATGTCACATCCTTAGAACTTTCTAGGCCTACTCCTCTGAATGATATCATTTAAGACCCACAGCTCCCTCTAGCTAATGTGTATATTACAGTGTTAAAAACACAGCTTATAGTACTATCCCCTTCCTGACATGTAAAGTTCCTTGAACTATCCCTATACAAAAAAATTAAACAATACAATAAGTTATCTATTCCTCAAGCATTTTTGTTGGTTTTCTCTTTCAAGGCCCAAAGTATATGTACGGAATGTCATTTTATCCCTTGTTATCACTGGCCATTCTGTTGTTGGGGGAATTCTTCCTGGGGAAATGGTCAGGTAAATACACTAGTGAGTCAAACGTTGATGATCCTCTGAAAGTACTCTTGACAGGAACCTCTGGTTCCTCTGCCAGTTGAGGTTCTTCTCTAGAGTTACCTAGTTAGCTGTTCTCTCACTGAAATACTTCCAAAGATGATCAGGATGAATGACCTTTGGCTCGGATTGCCTCTCCTTCAAACATGTACTTAATTTTGGAGTTTATCCTCTATCACGACAAGAACCACCATACCAAGCATTTTATTACATTAAAGGTTTTTGTATTGGTCAATTTACTAAACATATTCATGTTTAATTCTGTGCTTTTAGTTTTTCCACTTATTTTAGTTTTCTAAATTAAACCCAAGAACAGGTGAAATATTGAGTTAAGAAATATGAGAAAAGTTCTTCCATATTTAGACTGTTTAATTGTTAAAAATTGTTATTTTGAATTAGTAAGATTTACAAGCTACGTTTTTTTATGTGCTTACTGGGTTGGTATTCCATTTGGTTTATCACTTTCTAGTCTGTATGTTGTAATCTTTTCACAAATCGGATGATCACACATAACTAAATCACTTTTTTTACCGTAAAAAAAATTCTACAAAGTGAATGATCTGCTTGCCTATTCCTGTGTTAATACGTAACATGCAATTAAAGGGTTTATCCTCAACAGAACGTCACATACAAGTTAATAAAGAATCTTGTTCTCAGAAGGACATAATTATATGTCTTAACTGGTACGTGATGTGATTTACTCACTTGGGTATGTGTTATACATGGGTTTGATTCCACCAGATGCCAAGATCATATTCATATAGAACAGTTCTGTTAACACACAACATCAAGAACTGTTGCCGTAGTCTTATAAAATTTGTACGAACTTGCATAGACATTTTCGATGGATTGAGTCTTTACACTAGATTGCAGCATATAACCCAAGAAAAACAAAAACCTTCTTGCGTGATGGAAATCTCTGAATCTAAGTTCCACCTTTAGCTAGCTAATGCTATTTGCATCATCCCAAAAAGATATCAAAACTTTTTGTTTTAGTATCTTTCTTGCTGCAATAACTAGTATTTCTTTTCATAAGCCAAGAATAGAAATACAAATTAGTATGTTTTCTGGAAGGGGATCATGAGGTAGAAAGTGTTGAAGTGAGGATGAACCAAGTTGTACATAATGTGTTGAAGTTTAAGCTTCTTGAGTATGTTTTCTGGGAGGGGATCATGAGGTAGAAAGTGTTGAAGTGAGGATGAACCAAGTT